TAAAAATTTTTATTTCAAAATAAAAATGTTCATATGCCTGGTCAAAAACAACAACAACAACAACTACAACAACGAACAGGTGGCAGGCTAGATTTGGCCCATGGGCTGTAGTTTGCTGATTCGTATTCTAGAATTCAGTGACGTCAAAGAAATTGCATATTGACTCAGAAAACCACAAATTGACATTACCTATATTGCATTGTGCTTGTCTGACACCTCTGTCTAGATGATCTGGTCCACAATCTTATATTTCTGGATAGTATTTGGAATTTCAGAGGAGGTGTTAACTTAAAAAGAGCTGGCACATCTGATGTCAGTCCAAAATTCACTAGGAAAAGGGAAAGTTTCAGTGCAAAGAAACCCCATACCTAGCTGCAAGGAAGACTTTTTTTTAGGTTCAAATTTCATGAATTTGGTTCATATGTATCTAATAATGATACATTCAACTTTGGATAGTTCAAGGTTGATTCTGTATCTACTTCATAGATGATGTAGCCACTTCTCCTCCAGTTTTTTCCTGCTAGCTGCCTTTGAGTCAATGTATTCTAATTTTGCGGTGGGTGGAGGTGATAGTGGGAAAGTTACTGAGGTCACTAACTAAAATTAAGTTTTCATAAGACATATGAATTTTGATTATGGGTGATCTCTTACTATGAATAACTAGCGATTATCTGTATTTTCAAGATCTCAAAAGTAAAGTTTCTTCCTGTCTGCCTTAATACATGGTGCTCTTATTCAGTCAACTTGTCCAATTCTAGGAACAGGAAAGGTTTCATTCTTTGGGTCTAGGACTGAATACTGGATTCTTTGTTGAGAAACATCTGTTTTCTGAATGCTTGCCCTCAAAGACAAGCACTTACTTAGTTCCTCCTCTAGGGAGGTCCTGGATTCAGCTCTATGAGATTTTCCATCCAAACATGTACCAAAGTATTTAAATCCCTGGAAACAAGGCATCCATTGCAGCTGTAGTTCCCAATGACCTCATCATAACACTCTCTCTGCTCTACTTAAGTTCATGAAATTATTGGAATATATGTTTATTTATAATTTAATATTTTATTTTCCTCAATTACATGTAAAAACAATTTTAACATTAATTTAAAAAATTTTGAGTTCCAAATTCTTTCCCTCCTTCCCTCCCTCCCTCATTGAGAAGACAAGCAATTTGACATAGGTTGTACATGTGCAGTCATGCAAAACATAGTTTCATGTTACTCATGTTGTGAAAGACAAAAAAAAAACAAGAAAAATAAAGAAAGTAAAGAAAAAGTATGCTTTGATCTGCATTCAGCTCCATCAGTTCTTTGCTGGAAATGGATAGTATTTTTCATCTTAAGTCCTTCAGAATTGTCTTAAACCATTGTATTGCGGAGAATAGCTAAGTCATCCACAGGTGGTCATCATACAATATTACTGTTACTGTACACAGTGTTATCCTGGTTCTGTTCATTTCACTTTGCATCAGTTCATGTAAGCCTTTCCAGGTTTTTCTGAGAGCATCTAGCTCATCATTTCTTATAACACAATAGTATTCCATCACAATCATATACCACAACTTGTTCAGCCATTCCCCAATTGATGGACATCCCCTCAATTTCTAATTCTTTGCTAACGCAAAAAGACCTGCTATAAATATTTTTGTATATATAAATCCTTTTCCTTTTTAAAAATCTCTTTGGAAATACACACCTAGTAGTGGTATTTCTTGGTCAAAGGGTATACATGCTTTTATAACCCTTCGGGCACAGTTCCAAATTGCTCTACAGAATGGTTGAATCAGTATAGCACTTCATTAATAGTTCATTAATGTCTCAATTTTCCCACATCATTGCCAACATTTGTCATTTTCCTTTTCTGTCATAATGGCCATTCTGATAGGTATGGGGTGGTAGCTCAGAATTGTTTTAACTCACATTTCTCTAATCAATCATGATTTAGAGCATTTTTTTCATATGACTATATATAGATTTGATTATTTCTTCTGAAAACTGCCCATTCATATCCTTTGACCATTTATCAATTAAGGAATGGCTCTTATTTCTGTAAATTTGACTTGGTTATCTATAAATTTGAGAAATTAGGTCTTTATCAGAGAAACTTATTGTAATTTTTTCACAGTAATGATTACTATGTATTTCTCTCCATCGTATTTTATCTCTGTCTGTCCTATTCTCTCTCCTTTCATGCTGTCCATTTTCTTTCTTTCTTCTTTGGAAATAGTATTTTTTCCAATTATATGTAAAGATAGTTTTCAACATTAATTTTTGTAAAATTTTAAGCTCTAAATTTTTCTCCTTCCCTCCCTCCCAGCCCCTTTCCCCAAGACAGCAGGCAATCTGATATAGCTTATACATGTGCAATCATGTTAAATATATTTCCACATTAGTCATGTGGTGAAAGAAGAAACAGAATGAAAGGGAAAAATCATTAAAAAAAACAAAATAGTGAAAATAGCATGCTTTAATCTGTATTCGGATTCCACAGTTCTTTCTCTGGACATAGACAGCATTTTCTATCATGAATCTTTTGGAATTGTCTTGAATCATTGCATTGCGGAGAAGGGCTAAGTCTTTCACAGCTGATCATCATACAATGTTGCCATTACTGTGTACAATGTTTTCTTGGTTCTGCTCACTTAGCATCAGTTCATATAAGTCTTTCCAGGTTTTTCTGAAATCAGCCTGCTCATTTCTTATAGCACAATAGTATTCCATTATATTCATATACCACAACTTGTTTAGCCATTCCTCAGTTGATGGGCATTTCCTCAATTTCCAATTCTTTGCCACCACAAAAAGAGCTGCTAAAAATGTTTTTGTACATATAGGTCCTTTTCCCTTTTTTATGATCTCTTTGGAATACAGACATAGAAGTGGTATTGCTGGATCAATGGGTAAGCACAGTTTGATTGCCCTTTGGGCATAGTTCCAAATCACTCTCCAGAATGGTTGGATCAGTTCACAATTCCACCAACAATGCATTAGTGTCCCAATCTTCCCAAATCCTCTCCAACATTTATCATTTTCCTTTTCTGCCATATTAACCAATCTGATAGGTATAGGGTGGTATCTCAGAGTTGTTTTAATTTGTATTTCTCTAATCAATAGTGATTTAGAGCATTTTTCAATATGATTATAGATAACTTTAATTTCTTCATCTGAAAATTTCCTGTTCATATTCTTTGACCACTTATCAATTGGGGAATGACTTGTATTCTTATAAATTTGACTCAGTTTTCCATATATTTGAGAAATGAGGCCTTTATCAGAAACACTGGCTGTAAAAATTGTTTCCCAGCTACCCTGTCCATTTTCAAAAGTGTTTTGCTTCTGACTTTTACCTCCCCCAATCTGCCCTCCCTACAATCAGCCTCCTACCTTCTTTTATCCCCTTCCCATCCTACTTTCCTATATGGTAAGATATATTTCTACACCCAACTGAATGTGCATGTTATTCCCTCTTTGAGGCAATTCCAATGAGAGTAAGGCTCATGTGCTGTTCCACTCCACCTCTCCTATCTTCCCTCTCCCCACTGTAAAAGCCCTTTTTCATGCCTCTTTTATGTCAAATAACTTACCCCATTCAATCTCTCCCTTTCCCCTTCTCCCAGTGCATTCCTTTTTCTCATCCCTTATTTTTATTTTTTTAAATAATTATCCCATCATATTCAAAATGATAAAGTTTTTAGGAGTCACAAGTAACATTTTCCCATGTAAGAATGTAAACAGTTTAACCTTATTTGAATCCCTTATGATTTCTCTTTCCTGGTTACCTTTTTATGCTTCTCTTGAGTCATTTATTTGAAAGTCAAATTTTCTATTCAGCTCTGGTTTTTTCATCAAGAATGCTTGAAAGTTCTCTATTTCATTGAATGTTAATTTTCCCCCATGAAGGATTATAAATATTACATATTATATAATATATATGTATGTATAATATATATTGTTATTCTCAGTTTTGCTGGGTAGGTGATTCTTGGTTGTAATCCTAGCTCTTTTGCCCTCTGGAATATCCTATACCAAGCCCTCCAATCCTTCAGTGTAGAAACTGTTGTCAACTGGACTGAACTGGCCTCTAACCTGTGTATGTATGGCTGAAACCAAACAGAGCAGGCTAGAGGCAGATGAGTGAGGAATCAAACAGAAGTGTAATTTCAAAGTGAAAGAAACAGCTTGCAAGTGAAGTCCTTCCTAAGAAGGGAGGCTCACATGCTTAAGGCAGGGGTAGAGTTTTAAGGGTGAAAACCACAAATGGCTGGACCACAATACAGGCATTCTTGGGTCTTGAGTAAACAGTCTCCAAGTGCATGGCTGGACCACAATGAACAGTCTTCAAGTTGTTCAGGTCATAGGGCACAGAACCAGGGTTAGTTCTGGTTCGGTTCACTTGGCAGTTACAAGCTTGTGGGACTGTTAGTGGTTACAAGCATGGGAGATTGCTGTTATGATAAGCTCAGGACACAGCTTGTTTGCTGGGCCTTAGCTCTAATAATATCTTAGCACTGCTAAATCTTACGTTATCCTGACTACGGCTCCATGATATTTGAATTTTTTTTTGGCTTCTTGCAATATTTTCTCCTTGATCTGAGAGCTCTGGAATTTGGCTACAATATTCCTGGGAGTTTCCCTTTTGGGATCTCTTTTAGGAGGTGATCTATGGATCCTTTCCATTTCTATTTTACCCTCGGATTCTAGAATATTAAAGCAGTTGTCTTTGATAATCTCTTGAAAGATGATGTCTAGGCTCTTTTTTTTTTTGATCATGGCTTTCAGGTGGATCAATAATTGCTTAAATGATCTCTCCTGTATCTGTTTTCTAGGTTAGTTGTTTTTCCAATGAGATATTTCATATTTTCTTTTATTTTTTTCATTCTTTCGATTTTGTTTTGTTTCTTGATGTCTCATAAAGTTATTAGCTTCCACTTGTCCAATTTAATTTTTAAGGAATTATTTTCTTCAGTGAGCCATTTGGCTAATTCTGCTTTTCAAAGCATTCTTCTCTTCATTGGATTTTTGTGCTTCTTTTATTCAACTGAAACAGAATAATGAGGGATTGTATCAGGTATTAAATAAAACTGTCACCCATTCAAAATGATCACCATTCTTACAAGTTTCTCTTGGGAGAGAAACTTATCTCTCAGTTAACCATTGTTTCCCTGATACCATCTAACTCTAACTCTTACCCCCTTTTTATGGTCTACTGACCTGGGGTGGGGGGGAAGGAATCTGTCAATCACTGTCAGAAAACTTCTGGAGAAATTTGATGTAGCTCTAACATACACTGTGGTTCTGGGGATACAGTGCTAGGCTTCTAGAAAAATATGCCCTCTAAAATCTCAAACCTAACTCTACTTCTTCATCAAAGACTAGAAAGGATGTCAGAGCATAGGACACATGCCATTATCTTCTCTCTCTCCCCTATTTATCTCCTGTACATTCACACCTCATCCTTTGTAAGACTTCTTCCAGAGCCTTTCAAAGCATCCTCTGCAATCTAATGGTCCTCACAATGTAATCTCACACAACCTTCTAGGGGATATAGTTCTAAAGAGAACACAGAGAATATTGCAAACATCTTATGTAGTACTGGGAAAAATAAAAAAAGAAACATTGAAGCAAGGCAAGGAAATAAATTAAATGTAGACATATGGGTGGGGACTCTTGAGCTATAATTTTAGGATTGCAGACCCACAAATATATAACCAGGAAGAAGTAAGTGGGCAATGAAAGGAAAAGGAAAACTATAAGAGTAAAAGAAGGTAGTGTGGTAGAGCCAAAAGAATACAGCATCTAGAATCTGAGGATCTCAGTTTAACTTTTGGACTCTGCCTCTTTTTACCTGCGTGAATTTGAATTTATGGTTGCTGTCTCTTCCAGGGACCCTTTCTGTGAGTGTGAGTTGGATGAGTAGGGGATAACCCAGAAGGGACATAATATGGAGAACTCCCAACATCCTGAGGTAGGCAGTGCATTGCACCACTAGATAACATTTTTGCTGTGAATTCTTTCCTTATATCCACCTTAAATCTGTCTCTTTTCAACTTCCACCCACTGTTTCTAGTATTGCCCAAAATGGCCAAATAGAGCAAGTCTAATCCATCCACCACATGACAGCCCTTCAAATGCAGAAAGAAAGCTACCATTGTTCCCAATAAACCTTCTCCTCTCCAAGATAAACATACCCTAGTTTGTTCAACTGATCCTCACATGACATGGTCTCTAGCCATGCCAAGATCATCACTGCCCTCTTCTAAACCCATTCTAGTTTATCAGTTCATTCCTTTGCTCAAAAACTTTCAAACTTTAGGCTGTTCCCCACTTCCCACTGAATAAGTTCAACCTTCTTAGTTTGACATTCAAGGTCATTCAGAATCTGGCTCCAAATGGGTTTGTAGGCTCACTCCTCCCTTTAATGTATTCTCTATTCCATTCAAATTGGACTACATAGCACTATCTATCCTTTCCTGACAGCCCACATTTGCTCAGAACATTTCCCTTACTAGAATGCACCCCAGCTTCTATCCCCAATCTCTACTTGTTGACATTTTTTTCTCCTTCAAGGCCCAGCTCAAGTTCTCCACCCTTCAGGAAACTTTCCATATATCTCCAGTCAAAAGCGATCTCTCCCTTCTCGATGATTTTTTTTTTTAATGCTCAGATACACTTATCATTTTCTACTTATTATAGCAATATAATTATTTGTATATATATCTTATCTCTCTTACTAGATTAGAAGTTCTCTGAGGGGAAATAACATGGTTTTTTTCTAATTTGTATCCCCCATCAGTGACTACCACAGTTTCTTGCACACAGTAGACGCTCAATATATTAAATCTGTATTTTACTGAATTATTGTTTAATTTCCTCCTGGGATTTGACCTTGCATAAAGGTCACTTTCTCACTATTCTTTCCCCAAACATATCAATTGTGTAGTTCCCAAATTAGGTAACAGCTTCATGTCAGCAAAGGAATGAATCCAATTGCCAAAATGCCTCCCCATTTATTTGAACCCTGGTGCAACATGGTTGCTCTGAGCCTACTCTGTCAGGGCCTGTTACATCTTCCCCTCAAGGTTCTCAGGTACACTGGGAGGGAGAGTTGGGAGTGTCTCTTTTCTCTACTGCTATTGGCTCATGGCCCTTCTGCAAGTGTTCTCTCTATTTTTAGGGTCTGATAATGAGCACTTCAATTTTATTTAACCACTTAAAACTAAGTAGCTTTTTATAAAGGGACATTTACTTCAAAGGTATAGCAAGAAGAAATATACAAACAATTCCCTCAATACATTGGGGGCATAATCTCTAACCATCTCAGTCTCTGGTGGTGGGGCATGGGGTGATTAGGCTCACAATTTAATTCAGTTCTTACATAGTAGTCGTTTTACCTAGTTCATGTCCAAAGGTGGAATCACTGCCAGATTTTGCTGTTATTTATATGGAAAGTGCAGGTCCAGGGAAGGGCTAGGGCACATTTCTATTTACGCTGTGTAGTTTTCCCTTTTGGTTAGTTTCCACTCAGGTTAGTAATAAAATCAAGATTACATAGGTCCTTTAGAGCTCAAAATAAGACAGAGATGTTTGACCCTTGTGTTATTATACTAGTTTGAAGTGGGGTGGGGAGACATGGAACACTTTGGATAGTACTGTAAGTGCAGAAATGTATCCTAGAGCTTTGGTCATCAGTTAAGGTAATATAGAGTTCTTTTCTGCTCAGTAGACTGGTAGACAGTATTTCCTTCTTCCCCCGTGTTTTTCCTGAGATTTGTTCATCTTGGTTAGTAGTCTGAATTGAAAGGGTTTTAATGAGGGTTTATGCTTCACTCCTGTGTTCAAAACCTCTCTGAACATCTTGCTCATAGAAGAAAGGACAATGGTCAGCTCTTTTCTATCTCAGACCTCAAAATGACATTGTTTAACCCTTTCCCCTAGGTGACTCTAGAATGGGGCTATGGTAGAATTGCAGGAAGGGTCTGGAGCTCACATGTCTAGACCAAGGGAAGTATATTGCCCAGATCTATCAACGTAGTTTTGGTATTTCTATCATTTGGTCATGTCTTTAGGGACCCAAAACCAAAAGCCATAGGGTAGAGGAATGAGGTTTCTGGCTGATTCCTGCCAGACTCCCAAAGGACTTTCTTTTCTATCTTGACCTCAATATCTCTCATAATGGTAAATAGTCAGATGACCAGGTACTCTACATCTAAAGCACATGCCTAGATAGGCATTGCATCACCAAATCTGGGAAGCCTGTGATTGCTGGCTCTTTTCCAGTGAAGCAGACTTAGGGCTTTGCTGCCCGTCCAGCCATACACTTAGGTTCTCCAAGACCTATGCCTACTCCTTCTGGCCTTCCATTTTCACTGTTTTTTCATCAATCCTGCTGGTCTACCCAAAGCAAAATGGTCTTGTAGCTTGAGTTTCAGGTTATGTATCAAATTAACCCAATCATTCCTGGAAAGGACATAGCAATCAATTATTATCCACTTTGTCTCACCTACATAATGTCTAGTCCAAGGGTGGGGAACCTGCAGCCTCGAGGCCACATATGGCCATCTATATCCTAAAGTGTGGCCTTTTTTACATTTGGATTCAGTCAAAAGGCTGCACTTAAGTATTTAGAAGGTCATATGTGGCCTTAAGGCCACAGGTTCTCCACCTCTGGTCTAGTCCGCATCTTAGCAGCCTTTCTACTTCCTACAACCTCTAAGTACCTCTCTGGAGCTGCTGATTCAGGTAAGCCCTCTTCTCCTCAGCTGCTCCAAGAGGGTGAGAGCTGTGGGGAAGCCGTCTTGAATGTGGTAAGAGCAGCACCTGTGGACCCCTCTGTGTGGAAGCCTTGAAGCATCACTGGCTCCTGCCACTCCACAGTTATGACTTCCACCAATTTCAAAGTCTATTCACAGTGACCATGGCTCCTATAGAAGAGGGTCCCTGGATAGATTTCAGGTAGTCTGTGAACTTGGATGGAGAAAAAAAATGCATATGTATTTTCATTAACTTTTGGTTTCTTTTGTAATTCTTGTATTTTATTTTGTGCATTTAAAAACATTATTCTGTTCTGAGATGGACCTATAGGTTTCACCAGAAACCTATGAAGCCCTCATATCCCTCAAGCCCCACTAATAAGCCATAAGATAGTGGGGGCAGCTAGGTGGCACAGTGGATAGAGTGCTGGGCCTGGCATCAGGAGGACCTGAGTTCAAATCCAGCCTCAGACACTTACTAACTGTATGACCCTGGGCAACACACTAAACCTTGTTTACCTCAGTTTCTCATCTGTAAAATGATCTAAAGAAGGAGATGGCAAACAATTCCAGTGTTTCTGTCAACAAAACCCTAAATGGAGTCACAGAGAGTCAGACATGCCTGAAATGATTCAACAACAATAAAATACCACTTTAGAAACATCTGGGGTAAGTTCAACTTCTCCAGAAAGGAAAACCTTTCTTTCTGGTACAGATCCAGTTCCATAGAATCATGCTTAATTAGTTGATTAAAAAAATCAGAGGCAGGGGACAGAAAGTTTGGGAATAAGAACAGATGAAGATCAAGATGACAAACGAAAAGACTGGGCCAAGGAGGAGCAAGCCAAATGGAAAGAACTATTGGGGTAAATATTTTATTATGCCTGCTTTGCTTCTTATAGCTGGGTGATCTCTGGGCAGGTCACTCATTTCCTTTATCTATAAAATGAGAGAATTGCCCTAGGTGATATAAACATTTTTATATCTTTTTATATCTTTCTTTCTTCCTTCCTTCCTTCCTTCCTTCCTCCCTCCCTTCCTTCCATCTTCCTTCCTTCTTTCCTTTCTTTCTTTCTTCCTTCCTTCATTTCTTTCTTTTCTTCTTTCTTTCTTCCTCTCTTCCTTCCTCTCTCCTTCCTCTTTTCCTTCTCTTTCCATTCTCGAAGAAACCCATTTGTCCAAGCCAATAGCAAAACAGAAATCAGGAGCAATAGCAAAACATAGGAGAATATATGCCAGACAATGCAGAGTAAAGAAGCTTTCCCATTGAGGGTAAGTTTAGCATCTT